TCTTATTCTTGTGGATTAGGAGTGGATCAGATTTCCCTTTCTTCTTAAACAGACCCAACTATGAAAATTCATTTACTGACCATTCCATGTTGGTTTCCTGTAGACTGATCTTTGAAGAGAACCATAAGACCTTCTTTTTTAGCAAAACATCAAAAAAATGGAATTCTGACTTCATCTCTGATTCCGATGTGAACTGGATAGCGTGATGGCAGTTGTTGAACTCCTCAGTTATCATTTCGATGTTAGCATTCTCATCATACATGACGAAAGTTTAATCCATGTGCTTTTGGTACATATGGAAATTATCAATAGTGGGTCGTAACATACTATTCTCTAGACTTGCCAAGAAACAGTCTGCAAGTAAAGGACCCATTGGCTACCCCATTGCCACTCCTTCCCTTTGTCTATAGAGTGTGTTTTTGAAATTGAACTGGACATTAAAAGTGCATTTCAGTAGTAGTTCCATTAAGTAATGGGTTGGAATGCTTTGATGCTTTTTACAATCTTCGTCGTTCCGCTTTCAGTGTTCTTTGTCTCTAAAAATTTCTAGTCGATCATTTGATGTCCACTATAGTATGAAATCATCTATTAATGAAAGTCTTCAAGGTATTGGCTGGAATTTCCCAAATACCGAAACTAATTACTTCGTGTAGCAAATCTTACACAAATTGGTACAATTAAAAGTTGACAAATATACTTCATATGTTGCGCCGAATTGTGAACATCATTTCACATGCATATGTGGCAACAATTACATCAGAAGGACAGAACCAAGTGCTCATCTACGGTTAAGGGATAGAGTCCATTAAACAAAATAATTTAGTTTACCTAATATCTTAAAATCAGGTGAGAGTAACAGGCGGGGGTCAATTTAGATAAGCAAAGCCTAGAAATCTAAAAATAAGCTCATCTGTAACACCAAATGCAGTTACACACATTCATATAACAGGATAGAACAAGGTGACCGTTTCAAAATCTAATATAATAGGGTGAAGCGGCATATTGGTAGCTAAAGCTTTATTTATCAATTCAAATGAGGATTTATACAGCCGGAATGATTCAACGCCTATACCGAATATCTGAAAAACTGTACTAAACTTAAAACAAATGGAAAGAAGGAAGAGAACTATCAAAGTCAATTTTCGAAGTCATATAGCTATAACTGGTGATATTATTATGAGCTGTAAATTGCCTTCGAGACGTTACCCAGTAAATCATACCGTTTCACTGTGTGATATTTCCAATAAACAGATTAATATGGAATGCTCACCAAATAAATTTTGAACGAATGCCTTCGTTTAAACGAATAAAATGTTCTGGATAGCCATCAGACAGCAAAAAGAATACACAGCAAACAAAATATTCTTGAATTTCTTCAAGTCTCTGAGATACCAGTCGATAGCTTTCAGTGACACTGATAACTTCGCTCCCAATGAAAAATTATTCTTCATATTCCCTGAGGTTCACAGTGTAACGTAGAGCTTCAACAATGCGTCTCCATTTAATCCTGTCCTGTACATTCCTTTTCAGCTGATCCCACGACTACCCACAGGCTCTCACCTCCTAGCCACACGATCTCCTTCACATCACATTCGGATGCCCGACTCGTCGTTCTAATCGAGAACCCGAAGCATGACGTCAGTCGACAGTATACTCAGTGTGTCCCCAACCCATCTTCATTTCCTTCGATAAATTTGTTGTATAATGAATCGTTGGATGGTTTGCTGCCAGAGTTTCTTGTTGCTGATTCTTTCTGATCAGGCATCTGATCTCCAGTATGGAGCCAGCCAGTAAAGGTGACAGCTGTTAATGAAAGTCTACGGCAGCCCTTTTGAAATACTTTCCGTGACGCACGGTGCAAGTTTCTGACCCATGTAGAAGAACTGACCTAACATCGGTGGTGAAATTCCGAATCTTATTCTTAATACTGAGACGGACTGCAAAAGATTTCCGAATCGATTCCAGATTGATTAAGGCGTATCTTGCCCATCCGATTCTGACTGGCTGGCTGGCTTTGAGATCTTCATTGGCGGCGACTGCCTGAGATTGAAACCTTGCTTCCTGTCCAGATAAGTGAGGAAGTGATCTCATTCAAATCTCTCCAATTGATGGTGATTGGTGCTCATTGTTGTTGTTGCTGTCGGTTGGTTGTCTTCATCACCTCCGTCTTCCCCATCTGTGTTCACTTGAAATCCTATCTTCGCTTCTTCTTCTTCAGCCATTTTGTTGGTTTTCTCCTGTGAATCTTCAAGTTTTGTGGTTTCAAACATTAGTCGCCTGCGAAATCCAGATCCTTTAGAGTCTTCATGTCAGTGGGACGTACTCATGTCTTCTTACTCCCAAGCACAGTCTGACGCATAATTCAGTTCACCATAATTAGGAATATTCTCGTTGGCAGGAAAAAGGCAACTAGCTTGTCCTACTCCTTTTATCGCTTTGAACATCCTGCTGAGTTTTCCCTTGTGGATCACCTTACACGTTGCATTGTCACATAGCCAACTGTTGAATGAAGTTGATAAAGACTCGGGAGACGCTATAGTGTTGAAGTAGTTTCCAGATTGCTTCTCCGTTAACGTTATCGAAGGCCTTTTCAAAGTAGATAAAGTTATGGTGGAAGTTTGAATGACATTTTTTGCCTTTCTCGTTGATGATGCATACAGCTGCAGTTTGATCAGCACATGGTTTGCCTTTCCTGAATCCAGCTTGTTGCAGTTGGCGGAGTTCTGTATAAAGTGCATCTTTTATTCTCTCCAGGATAATGCGACTTAGTACTTTACTTGACGTGGAAAAGAGCATGATTCCTCGCCAGTTCTCTCTGATGCATGATTGACCATTCTTTGATAGTATGACAAAGTATATAGCCTTTCATTCAGCCAGTAGGTACCTCTCCATCCTTCAAAACATTGAGCAGTAAAGTCGTCAGCATATCTACCACAGCCTCTGAATCCGTTTTCACTGATTCAAGGAGGATTCCGTCTGGTCCTGCTGCCTTACCGGCTGTGTTCCAGTAGCTTGATTGCATTCAAGATTTCTGCCTTCGTGGGAGCATTGGTGTCCACTTGCAATCAGTTCCCTGAGTGCTGATGGTGGTGGTATTTCTAGACGATTTGCAGGCAATCATGGTCGATTCAAGAGTCCTTTGAAATGATCAGCCCATTGTTTCATTTGTGTCTCCTCCTCCTTTGTAATTAGGTTCCCTTAAACATATTTTCTTGGTTTCATCATGTAAGTTCATCTCTTCCCGGATAAAGACCTTGTTATCTGATTTAATGTTATGAGGTCTCTTTTACCTGCAACCTGCCTGTTCTGCTTCAGTTGCCAGCCGGTGTCGTAGAGTTGTCTTTCCTAGCACTCTTCTTCACTTCTTCACTCAGTGCAGTATAAACTGAATTCAGCTTCTCCTTCTGTTGTGCATCTTTACATTGAACCATCTCCTCTTTCACCATCCTCCTCTCCTCTCTTCTATTGGTTTTTAAGTATCCGTTGAGAGCAATTCTTTGTCTTGTCTCTTCTTTCTTCCTAGAATAATTGTACACGTTTACTTAACATCAACTTCAGAGAGTTCCAGTTTTCTCTCACAATAGTCTCCACAGTGAAGCTACGTAATGTCTCTGATCTTGCTGTGATGGTTGCAGTGAATGTGTCCTTTGCGGTTTCATCCTTCACTTTCTGAGTGTTGAACCTGAATTGTGGTTTGTCTCCAGTTGTTCTGAAGGATTTCAACCTGAAATTGAAGTTTCCTTGCACTAGATAATGGTCTGAGCCCACAGCTGCTCCCTTTCTCAACATTGTGTCCAGCAGGCTGCGTCTCCACTTCCTTGAGAAGCACTGAGATGAAATGTCTCTGGTTTATGGTGTGTCCGTCAGGTGAAATCAATGTTGCTTTGTGTATATTCCTGTATTTGTACACTCTCCCTCCTACCACCGAATCATTGACAGAGCAGAAGTCTGAGAATAATTCTCCGTTCTCATTCATTTATCCGAGAGCCTCACGACCCATGCTGAGCTTTCTTCCTGTATTATCTGCTCCTGGATCATCTTGCATTCATCTCACCAATAAGGATTTTGATGTTGTTATTCGAGATTTTGTCCACTACTATCTGTAGTTGTCTGTGAAAATCTTCCTTATTCTCTTGTTCCGAGTTGTTTGTGGCATTTTGCGTAGCATTACATCATAATTGTGACCTTCTTTCCTTCCTTCCCCCCTTTTGAGATGAACCTTGCTGTCATGATCCTGGATTAAAATTGGTTCCAAATGCACTAGGGCTCTGGCTGCCACTAGTTACATCATGATAGCCACTCCCTCACTGTGTTCGTGGCTATCGTCTGGGTGAGAAGAGTAGATTACCGACTCTCCAGCTGATAATTTTGACAATCTACTTCCATTCCATCTGCTCTCGCAGATACGCAGCACTTGTATGCCATATTTTCGCATTTCGTTGGCTACTTAGGAATCCTTCCCAGTCTTGTATATTGTACGCAAATTCTACGTCCCCATTCTTACTCTTGATTTCATCGAGAGAAGACGCAAAGGCTGACTGGCTTTCCGAAGGCTTTCACCAGCCTGCTGAGTCATTTCGCCTCTCCAATTCCAGCAAAGAATAAGACTGTCATTTGAAGTTTTTTGTGTTTTTAATATATTTTCTGTGCGTTGAAGTTTCTCTGGAGGTTTGATAGGTTTAGTGGTGTAGAGTTGCTAGACGCACTCCCAACCCTCCTTCTTTACTCGGCCTTGGGATCAGCTGGAAAGGTAGCAAGCTAGTTAACTAGGCGAGGTTATGTACACTGTTGAAGAATCTCAAATTAGGAAGAAAAATTTGTCAAGTGTTTCACTGTTTTCAATGATTCTCTGAGTGATGCCAGTTCTTGGCAAGATTGACGACGACGGAGGCGAAGTGTAGAAATCCTGTTTTGAAGTAACATTGCAATAACGCCTCACACTGTCGGTGAGTAAACTATCATAAGACAGATTTAAAGGAACTTTCACTCGTTTTTATTAAATGACAACTATGTTCAATAGAAATTTAAATTTCTTATTAACTAATGTATTGATTATTTACAAGAATCCGTTATCAGTATTAATACCTAAATATTTGGAATTTCATATGAAATGCATTCAAACAAAACTAATTGAGATATTATATGAATTATTAGTTAAAAGTTTAATATCACCTGAATACTTGATTGAGGAAAAAAAGAATTCCTTCAAAATTGGAATTTTCATCAATATTATTATTACTACTACTAGTAGTATCACTAGAAGTTATTCATCGTTTATTGGATTATAGAAGTATTGTAATCTTATTTGATTGATGGATTGCGGTTAACTTTGGAATCCACGTGCTTGGGGACTCGTCATCTGAATATATATCTGTATCCTCTATGAGTGATGTTGTCCCCATTGAGGCTCGCACCAAGTACCCATCATTTCAAATGACAGGTAATACCCGTTGTAAAAGACTTGGCTTTAATGGCCTACAAGTCTAGAAGATAGTGCTATGGAGTTTGAAACGATGGATACTGTGCTTGGATTTTATCGGGAGTACCAACTCATCGTGATGCGCCTACCTGACACGATCAAAACAAGATGAAATATGCAGATTAACCACCACAAACAAAATAACATCTTGTTCGTTGCAAGGTATTTTTGAAACATCCAAACGAGAAGGCAGCATGTAAATTACTTAATGAGAAATTTCAAATAATTCCAACAAAAGATATTTTAACATTCTTACTTGGATTCTAATGCTTCGCTCACTCTTAAATTGCGAATCACAATGGTTCTTGTTTTCTTTCCCTGGATTGGTTGATATCAGTTGAAGATGACATGAGTTTGATTGCGTTATTAATTGAATACATGGCATGTACATGCCCTGGTCATTCAGTTAAAATACTTATGTGATCTGATTCTATTTATCCCTTGTGCGAATACTTCATTAACTCCAATAATTACATTGCTAGGAGCCATTTATTCCGTTTGTATGAAGCATACTAGAAACAGTCAATTTCTAAGGCCCATCAAGAATTGATACATCGTTAGGTCCTAAGCCAGTGACTGAATGATCAATAGGTTCATCGAAAATTCTGGGGTATTCTTCGTTTCGATCAATAATAGGGAGGGCATGATTGTGCGGTGCCTCATAGTTCTAAAATAAGCCGAAACATCTATCTGGCACTCCATGGTTCTATAGGTAATGTCAGTTGGTAATGGAATTTATAGTAACATTTTAAGAAAATCAGTCACCAAGCCTAAACCCAGAATAATCAGTAATGAAGAGCATACAGTCGGTACGAAAAAGGATAAGAAATAAGAAACATCGTCAGCGAACTAGCCAGGAGTCCATTACCGAACAAATATTTCCTAAGGAAATGTAGACAGATTGGATATACGTTGTGAGGGGATACTTAGGAGATATTAAATACCACTTTCTTCAGCGGAATCCAGTTGAGAAGTGACGGATCGGGCTTCTAAGGGTAATAACATGAGGAAGATCATGTGAGAAGTTGTACGGCCGTGTGGGTGTAGGACTGAGGTCCATTCCAAATGTAAAGAATGAGTGGTATGACAGTAATTATAGAAAGGTAAGTAATCACGTTGTCTTCGTGGTACTGACCTTATTTCCATCGATAAACAGCTATGCATATATATATACACATATATATATGAGACATAAGCAGCGAAGGAAATTTTCTTTTCGACGATTCATTTTCATAAGCTGCTGTACAATCGTAATTATGTTTAACGAATTTATCCTCGAAAAATGCATTACCCAATGTAAGGTGTGATCTAGAAGGGGTGACTAACTGGAACTTAGAAAAGGGGCAGAAGTCGCTATGACGCAATAAGTGTGAGAAAATGACTAGTCAGTATTATTGTGTGGAGTGGACAGGAACTAGTGGAAAGACGATAAAGTGTTTTTATATAAAGTCGGTAAGAAAACGCAATGTTACTAGTAAATAGTAACAGAGTGATGAGATTAATAATAGTAAACTTATATAATAAAAGGAAGCAAATTATAGTGAGAACGTTACTCTGGCCACGATAGAGCAAGGGAATGTATGTGATGCTTTAGAATGCAGAGGTCCGGTTTCATATCCTTAATAGCCAATGATTCAGCTGTGTACAGATGGCGTATTCGAAGTCCTTTCGTACGATATTAAGGAACTGTGTAGCACTGTGAAGCATTCATGTGGGGTTGCTTGATGTCCAGAGTTGACGGGTGTTTGAGGATGGAACTGCTACTATTCTTCTTTTCTCCTCTGGCCTGTAAGCCGAGCCGGCCAATGTCCTAGAATACGTTTTCGAACTTGACGTTGCGTACGGCCAATATACTCTGATCCACACGAGCAAGTATCTTATCCTTCCAATATCCAATATCGTTTTTACGAGCTAGTATAAACCAATTTGATTTCTTTGTGCTCGCCTCTTGATTGTGAGGTATAGGTTCCTGATCTTCGGTAAACTTCTGCGTAGCTCGTCCCGCCACTGGACTGTCGTAGCTTTGGTTAACTCCAAAAGGAGTAGTGCAGGGATTAATTATATGTGGTTTGTAGTATGAGGTGTGTTAAGACTGTTACTACTGTGAATGGAGTTGATCCTTTCACCAGTTAGTCCTCCGGTATCGTCATCAAAAGAAAAGAGATAATAATAATAGATATAATTAGTGAAGTTATTCAGACTAACAGACAGAAAAAGAATAAGAAAACGTAACAACAGTCAGCTGATTAAATTTGAAGAATAATGTGAATAATATATATATACCGGTAATAATGATAATAGTAATAATAGGTGTAGTTAAAGTTGTCAGGAGAGTAAGACGGGAGAGAATGTGAAGAAGTAAAACGACAAGTTTAATTGTCTACCCTTGAATGGTGAATGCGATTTTAAGGGGATAGGCCATTTGGATGCAGTCCTTGTGTCGCTGCATGGTTGTCCAGCCTTCGCTTAAAGGCGTCCACAGACGGTGCCATAGCTACATCTGCCGGTAAGGAATTCCAGGGACGGCAAACCCGCAGGGAAAAGAAGTGGGAGCGCACCCGGGTCCTTGCCCTCTGATGAGCTATCCTTCTAGGATTTCCACGAGGGAGCCTATACCTACTCAATGGCAGAACACCTTTGTTTGGGTGATTCTGGTCATTTGTTATTTTGTAGGCAGTAATTAAATCCCCCTAAGACGACGGTAGCTAAGTGTGAATAGGCTTAATTTCTTCAGCCTTTCATCATATGGTTTATTTCGGAGACCAACCACTCCTTTTGTTGCCCGTCGTTGGACTCTTTCCAAGAGGTTGGCGTCTCTTCTAAGCAGTGGGGGTGCAATAATATTATGCACTTCAAGGTGTGGTCTGACGTATGTTTTGTACAACCTTAGAAAGAGCTCAGGAGTGAGTGCACCTAACTGTCTGTGTGTAAAGTGTATGACCGCATATGCCCTCGCTACATCCCCCGTGTAATTTACGCTTGTGTCCATTTTCTCCGTTAGAACTAGACCTAAGTCACGTTCCGACGTTGTGCAGGACAAGCTTTCATTGCACAGGGTGTAACTTGTATTCTGCAGTCTACAGGTGCGTAACTTCACTACTTTGCACTTTTTCAGGTTGAAAGTCATGCCACTGACCGCCGCCCAGTCTTCCAGAAGGTTTAGATCTTCCTGTAGCCTATCTGAGTCCTCCGGGCACTTTATCGCCCTCCATATCTTCACGTCGTCAGCGTTTAGAAGAGTTGGGCAGCTTAGACGGCATGGCAGATCATTGATAAAAATCAAAAACATCAGTGGTCCTAGGACAGAACCCTGTGACTCTTCTAATGACGAGCTGTGCCAAGATGATCGGACTCGATTGACCTTGGTGCAAAATTGCCTTTCAGCTAGGTAGTCCTTCAACCATGACAGAAGTGGCTTAACTATACCTGCCTGGCTTATTTTATGTAGGAAAAGGTCATGGTGAACTGTGTCAAATGCCTTCTCAAAGTCTAGGAATACCACATGGACTGGAACATTCATATCCCAGCATGATGTCCAGTCATCTCAAGCTGATAGTAAGTTAATAACGCAGGATCTCCCTTTCTTGAAACCGCGTTGAGCTTCATAGAGTATATTAGACCTATCGAGATAGTATCTGATGTGATCGTCAATAATACTTTCCAGTACTTTTGATACCACTGGGAGTAGAGCTACTGGTTTATAACTGGTGGAATTTTGCCTATCCCCACCCTTGAAGATTGGAGAAAGGATGCTTCTTTTCCATTCCCTTGACAGTTTCCCCGATTCCATGGAGTGTTGGAACAAGTAGCATAAGGACCTACAGAGAGCTTCGGCGCACTGTTTCAGAACAGATGGTCTGATGTCGTCACAACCTGGGAACTTCCCAGGTGTGAGTCGCTATAGCTTTCTTAGTACTATTGCGGGGTTTATTTGGAGAGTAGCCACTAGGTCTTCCTCCTGTGAAACAGTGGTGCCACCATTTTGGTCCGTAACGGTAATACCCACATTGCTGTTTATCTGTTTGGCGAAGGCTAAACTGAATGTTTCCGCCATCTCCAGACTAGTGAGATATTGACCGTTTGGGCCTACTAAGGCGCATGCCCCCTGGTTGGTTGGTTTTCTTTCCGACATGAATCGGTACAAATTTTTGGGTTTGCTAGGAGTTTTTTAGCCAGCTTAGCCTGGAATGACCCCCTGTCCCTCCTGACTCTTGCATTGCACCGGTTCCTGAGTTCCAGTTATGCATCGTGGTCGGTCTAAGTGCGTCGGTGGCATAGCAGTTAGGACGCTTGCCGACCATGCACATGGCCAGGGGTTCGTTCCCCGGCCGACACACTCCTTTACCTCACTAAGCCAGAAATAATGCTGGTGAGGAGGAAAGGTTGGGCATTAGGCTAGCAACCCCATCCTGTAAAAATAAACACTGCTACAGAAACTTCAAGCCACTAGCTTGAAGCCCTATGTTCCACTGGGGAACGTGAAGGGCTAGTCTGCGTCAGACAACAGCCTCCGCATTTCAGCATAATCAGCCTTGCTTTAAGACAGACATGGGCGCGTAGCGTCCCACTGAAGATGCTCACGCAGAATGAGATCGAAACCTATGACTACATGGTCACTACTTTTTAGAGGAGTCATGATCTGGACCTTTTCGACGAGGAGTTGGTCGCTAGTTAGAATGTAGTCTAGTTTTGACGACTTTCCACTAGGGCCTCACCTAGTGTCGTCTCCAACGTTCTCAGTCAGTCCCGTGTTTCGAATAGTTTGCAGTAGATTTCGGCCAAATTCTCCCCTAGCATACCCCGAGCAAA